CCTCAGTGTAAATTTCTGTGTGGAAATATATTTTCTGGAAATAATGCAAGGATTCCTGTTAACTACTTAATGGGTCCTATGTTTGGAAACCTGTGCTATAGAAATCCTGTGTCTTCATAATTGTCTTAGATTTATAAATAGATTTATAAATTGTGTTTATAGATTTATAGGTAGATTTTGACCCTGTATGACTTTGGTGTGATAATTAAATACAGTAGAAGGTTGTGACTCATGTCATTTTTAAGTAAACTAAAAACTGCAAATAGAAACATTAAATCTCAATTAGCTTTCCCCCATCAGGCTCACAGAATTGGAATATATACCTTTTCTTCCCTCCATGCATCCTGTATAAATATATACCCTTTTGATAAATCATAAATGATCCCAGTAGGAAAACTTAAGTTTCACATTGTAATAAGTGCACCCGTGAATGATTTCCCATAAACATCAGAGAATATACATTTGCGTTTATGTGGCTGATTTCCATTTTTATACCTCTGCTCTGATTCTTATCACAGATTACTTTCCAGGCTCATTTATGTGACCTAAAGTAAATTCTATCTATTCTCATTGAAAAATTTTTATGTAAACTTTCCATTTTGCTTTTACTCCATTACATTTATAGGAGGGAGGTATTATGGTTTAATAATGCCTAATGATTTGCCAATCCCCATGCTACTCTGTATCTGTCTACTTCTCTATCCATCCACCCATCCATCCATCCATCCCTATATCTGTCTATATATCTGTCTATCTATGTATCCATCCCTATATCTATCATCTATTTATCCGTCATGTCTCTCTCTCTATGTGTGTGTATACACACATATATATATCCATCTATCCACCTACTCATCCATCATATCTATCTACCTAACTATCCATCCCTATATCTATCTATCTATCTATCTATCTATCTATCTATCTCCGTCCATCTATCCACCCACCCATCCATCATATCTATCCATCCCTATATCTATCATCTATCTATGTATCTATCTGTCAATCCATCCCTATCTGTCAATCTATCTATCTATCTCTCTATCATCTATCTATCTATCTATCTATCTATCTATCTATCTATCTATCTATCATGTCTATCTATCTAGCCGTGTATCTCTCTTTCTCTCTGTTTCTCTATCTATCCATCCACCTATCCACCTACCTGTACATCATATCTATCTATCCATCCCTATATCTATCATCTATCTATCTATCTATCTATCTATCTATCTATCTACCTAACTACCTACCATCATGTATTTATATACATGTATGCTGTCACAGAATGACCTATTTATACATACACACTCTATATACATATACGTTATACAAATATGTATATACATATATATATGTATAAATAATTTAGAGTCTCAACTGTATTTCAGAAATTCTTTTAGAAGTACCATTGAGACTCCAATTCTGCCAATCACAGGTGAATACACACACTAAAATTATAAAATAAATTATACTATAGTCTCTCAGTAGTTATCTTTTAGTTAATGGTCACCCAAGGAAAGATCTGCTGTACTTACATAATGAATTGTGTCCTAAAAGAAAATGAACTGTAGCTTTAAAGTTCTATTACAAAGGAAAAAAAGGCCACCACATCTGGCTTCTAACCCCTGACTCGCATGTGTGGAAAGCCACGTGACCTGGAAACATTCTCCTACACCCTGTGGTGCAATTCAGAAGAGCAAGAAGCCTTTAGATTGTGAAGACCCATCACAAAAGTCTGAAGCTTTGTATTCTAGCCGCAGTATGAAGACTGACTACATTGCTCATTTTTACACGACGTCCATTTCACTCAACGTGAAGGGGGAAATGTGATTTCTGGTTTGCAGGCATTTCTCATGGACCATATTTTTTTAAAAAATTTTAATGTTTAATCAGTTTTGAGAGACAGAGCATGAGTAGGGTTTGGGCAGAGAGAGGGGGAGACACAGAATCCGAAGCAGGCTCCAGGCTCTGAGCTGTCAGCACAGAGCCCCACACGGGGATTGAACCCACAAACCGTGAGATCATGACCTGAAACGGAGTCAGACGCTTAACCCACTGAACCACCTACACGCCCTTCCCGTGGACCATATTTTTAAAAAAACTCTAGACACCTGAGCTCATCTCTTGTGTATGTGTATCTTGTTTTGTCCCTTCCGGTGCTTTGAATGCATCTTGGTACCGATCTAGTAACAATATGTCTGAGTTCAGGTGTCTGCTTTCTATCTGTCTCTCATTGTCCCTTTGTTGGGGGGAGTGGTTGGGGGCTGACTGATTTACAGCCTTCATTTCAGAGACAGTAAATCTCAAAAGCCAAATGTTTCATCAACTGAAATGCTTAACGGATTTGGAGCCAAGAGTGCTTATCGGTGAAAGAAGCCATTTGTTTAAAATCTCTGGTTTTAGCCAGCCAAGGGGCCACTTCTCTTCATCTACAGCGTATATTGAAAGCTCAAGGGGACAGACTTCTAAGGATGCTTCTACCAGCACTCAGCTTTGTAGAATCACTCAGTGATGTGTGTCGCTGTTTCCAAACGGATCATCTACTCTTACGTTCCCAGAGTTGCGTGATAGTAAACCGAGAACACATCTTGTATCTGCATTATATCAAGCACTGTATTTGCACGATCAGAATAAGAGAGAAATATATTCTTGCAGAGTAAAATACAATTGCTTGCCTTCATTCTGTACCTGCAATAAAAACTCGCCTTGTTGATTGTTTAAGTTAAAAGAGAGGGGGGGAAAATCCCTGGATGATGCAGTGAATGAAGATTCCGTGGTAGAAACTATGGAAACACCAACTTCAAAAAAAAACCCCACGTTCATTTGCTGAACTTCAGACGTGCACGGAGAGCTATTTCCCTCAGGACTTTTGGAAGGCATTCAGAATCGCAAAGATCAAACCTTTCAATAGGAGGCTGTTAGGAGAGCTAAGATTTGCCAGGGTAGAGAATATTAATTAGCCTGGAGAGGTTACAACAGTCATTTTGGCTGGGGAGGGGCCCCACTCTCATGAAGGCCAGTGATTCGCCGTATGTTGCAAATCCTCACGGTGCCCTGCGGAAACCGAATAAGCAAATAGGTCGTTCTGGGGGAGACCAGAGGGGGAGAGGGAGTAGAGGAAGGATGTGTTAAAGACAGAGCGGTCCCGCCAGGAAATTACTGGAGCCTTTAGGAATGAATCACCTCTTTCCTTAATGGGGAAAGAGAGGCTTCTCTCATGGGTATTAACCGGCACCCAGACTGCCATTATGAGCCCGTTTCGTACATAAAGCTGCACGAAGGGGGCTCGCTCCCAAGCAGAGCATGATGCATTTTAAGAGAAACTGTGCAAGAGGTGGCATGATGAATGCCAGAGCCCGGGAACGTTCGCTGGCATGAAATGCTAATTAGTAATTGCTAATTAAATAAGGGAGGGGTTGCTCACATCAGAACGTTCGCACTAATCACAGCTCATCTCCGCTCCATCCCCATGAGCGCTGGACAGGCCTGAATCATCTTCGGGACGTGCTGCAGATGCATCTGTTTGCAGATACTGGAGGTCGTGGGTGAGACCACTGCAATTTTGGAACGAACACAAATAAATAACTAACCTTCTCATTGCTCTCTTTTAAACCAGGCCTTTCATGGGGCCCCTGGGCGGCTCAGTCAGTTAAGCATCCAACTCTGGCTCAGGTTGTGATCTCGAAGTCCGTGAGTTCGAGCCCCGCGTCGGGCTCTGTGCTGACAGCTCGGAGCCTGGAGCCTGCTTTGGATTCTGTGTCTCCCTCTCTCTCTGCCCCTCCCCTGCTCGCCCTCTGCCTCTGTCTCTCGAAACTGAATAAATGTTAAAAAAAAAAAAATTTAAACCAGGCCATCTCTGATCCCCTCCGAGCTCACACCGTGCGTTTTCTTGGATGCCAGGGATTGAGAAGGCTTCATCCTTCATCCTTCACTTCTATTGTTTTAGGTTACGTTGCGGTCACCTTTGGTAAGAGAGGGGGTTTGACGGAATCGGTTTTGATTCCTGTGATTTCAGGGCCTCAGTCAGTCTGTCTTCACCAAAACACTGGTAGGTGCCTGTAGGAACTAAATAAATTCTCACTAAAATGAATGAATGGCCTGCACCTTGGAAAAAATGAAGTGGGACAGACAGGAAAATACCATGATTGGGTGTTTGGATCAAGGTCAGATGAGAAAGTAAGATGGTAAAGAAAGGAAAACAAAACATCTTTTTAGGACTTGATGTTTTTGTTTTTTGTTTTTTGTTTTTTTGTCAGAAGGCTTATTATGCGGGGCGCCTGAGTGGCTCAGTCGGTTAAGCGTCCGACTTCGGCTCATGTCATGATCTCACGGTTCGTGGGTTCAAGCCCCACACTGGGCTCTGTGCTGACAGCTCCGAGCCTGGAGCATATCTTTGGATTCTGTGTCTCCCTCTCTCTAACCCTCCCCTGTTCACGCTGCCTCTCTCTCTCAGAAATTAAAAAAAAAAAATGAGATTGATTTTGCCTGATAGGTTAGCCCTGTACAGACTCAGAGATGAGGCGTTTTATCATCAGAAACAGAACCCATAGAAACAGAAGCAATAACCACCATCACCATTATTTACATAATATAATCCTTGCTGCCATGAAAAGTAGTTTCCAGTGGTGCTTCTTATTTATAGAAGGACAAACAAAGAATGAGTAAACCGCGAGATATATTTTCTTTATTTGTTTAAGTGTTTACTTATTTATTTTGACAAATAGCATGTGCATGAGCCAGGAGGGACAGGGGCACAGAAAGAGAGAGAGAGACAGAGAGAGGGAGAGAGTGAATCCCAAGCAGGCTCCACACCATCTGCTCATGGAGACAGATGTGGGGCTTGAACCCACAAGATCACATCCTGAGCCCAAACCGAGAGTCGAATGCTTAGCCGACTGAGCCACCCAGGCACCCCCATGAGATCTGTTTTCAAATACCGGTGATGTTTATGTGCTTTGTATCGTTGACAACCCAAAGTATGCTGTGCTCTCTTGTAGGGTTTCTAAGTACAGGAGACCAGGCGGCTAAAGGCAACTACGGGCTCCTGGATCAGATCCAGGCGCTACGGTGGATTGAAGAGAACGTCGGGGCCTTCGGCGGGGATCCCAAGCGAGTGACCATCTTCGGCTCAGGCGCGGGGGCGTCGTGCGTCAGCCTGTTGACCTTGTCGCACTATTCAGAAGGTAACAAGTGCGTCGCCATGTTGGTGCACAGCCCCCAGGGCTGAGAGCTGAACACGCGTGGAGTTCACGGCCAAAGTCCTTGCTGGCGGCGTTGCCATAAGTCTGTAAACCTCCCCAGAAAATCCACCAGACGACACGACACATTGTTTTCTTTAAAAAACCTTAATTTTTAAAATTTGTTTAGAGAGAGAGAGAGAGAGAGCAGGGAAGCGTGTGAGTGGTGGAGGGGCAGAAAGGAATGGAGACAGAAGATCCCAAGGAGGCTCTGTGCTGTCAGCGCAGAGCCCAATATGGGACTTGAACCCGAGAACCGTGAGATCATGACCTGAGCCGAAACCAAGAGTTGATGCTTAACCGACTGAGCTCCCCAGGAGCCCTTCACGCTGTATTCTTTTAGCTCAGCTTTCTGCTTTAACCATCTAAATGACAACAATTCAATGCTGGTTATAACAACGGACTCCTTTAGGAAGACCACCACTCTGTGTCTGCCTTCCTGACTTTATTCGGTCACCGCTAAGTGTTACGAATTCTCACTTCAACTTGGGAAGGGTAATACAGAAGAAAACCAGTAGTGTGGAAGACGGATGCAGATCTGTACGTTACATAGGCAGCGTGGCTGTGGCCATGTGGTTTTGACGATAAATTTGTGGGTTTTTTAATGTTTTATTTATTTCTGAGAGAGAGAGAGACAGCGTGAGCAGGGGAGAGGCAGAGAGAGAGGGAGATACAGACTCTGAAACAGGCTCCAGGCTCTGAGCTGGCAGTCAGCACAGAGCCCGACGCGGGGCTCAAACCCCTGAACCGCAAGATCGTGACCTGAGCCAAAGGCGGACGCCTAACCGACTGAGCCACCCAGGCGCCCCGATGTTGTTTTGAAAGCCACTTGTGTGATGTGACCCGTGCATTCGTAATAGCTTCCTGGCTCCTCCTTCAAAAGCAAAAACAGAACAAGGGCACCTGAGTGGCTCAGTCGGTTAGCATCCAACTCAGGCTCGGATCATGATCTTTTGGTCCTTGAGTTTGAGCCCCACATCAGGCTCTGTGCTGACAGCTCAGAGCCTGGAGCCTGTTTCAGATTCTGTCTCTCTCTCTGCCCCCGTCCCCCGGCTCGCACTCTGTCTCTACCCCCAAAAAATAAACATTAAAAAAAGAAACAGAATAAACAAACAGACAACCCAGGAAAATGCAAATACACATTCTCGGTGATGATCTAAATTATCAAGGTCAGGTTATATTTCCTTCTGTGCCGTTGGTTAGTTGAAGAACTGCACCATTTTTATTTGAACCATTTTCGTCAAAAGCACTTGAAACCTTAAAGGAGTTATTTGTTTTCTTTAGAGTCTTGCAAAAGGAATGAAAAGGTCAAAAAATTTTAAATACTAATAAATAAAAATTGCATATAAGATAGAATAAAAAAAAAAAAAAAAAAACCTGAAGAGGACCTTGAAGCTCATCTACTCCAAAGCCCTCATTTATCAAAAAGGAATTTGAGCTCAGAGACGTTGCATAGCCTGCCTAAGGTCACACAGCAAGTGACGGAGCTTGGGATGAAACCCAGCTTCCCAGACCCTGATTCAAACCTATTCCCATCTTTCTTCTTTAGCTATTAAAATGTGGGGAAGAGTGGAGGGCAGTCTTGATCTGTGCAGAATAGACTTTTCTTATGGGATTCATGAATATCTGTGCACAGAACAACTCTCAAGAAAGCCCTGATGGCCTCTCCTGTTTGGTATTTTACTTAGCAATTGCTTTTCCACTTTCGGCTTCCATTGTTGAACTTCAGATACCCTCTGCAGGTACTCAGCAGGTCTTAGGAAATAGACGTGTTCAGCTTGAGTAGAAATTTTAACTAGTCACAGGCAGTGATGTGACAAGTAGATTTGCAGCTTAGTAAGGAGATTCAAAATGTACCTGTTATTAGCATGCTCAGTCCAGGAGCCATAAGCAACCATTAGTCCAATCAAAGGTGACAGTGTTGGGACACCCAGGTGGCTCAGTCGGTTAAGCGTCCAACTTTGGCTCAGGTCATGATCTCGTGGTCCATGAGTTTGAGCCCTGCGTCAAGCTCAGAGCCTGGAGCTGCTTCAGATTCTGTGTCTCCCTCTCTCTCTGACCCTCGCCCGCTCATGCTCTATCTCTTGTGTCTCTCAAAAATAAATAAATGTTAAAAAAAATTTTTTTTAAAAAGGTGACAAGGTTATAGATTATTTCATAATGTCTCAGGAGAAGTCGCATTAGGGGCCCACGTTTATATTAACCCTTCATTTTTACAAAAACAAAACAGTGGATAATTAGAGGAGTCATTGGTAAAATCAATTCCTATAGCATTCCAGAAAATATGTAGACTTTCCCATGTGTCATTTGTCAATTGATACAGTGTCTGTTCTCAAGTTAGCAAGTAGTTAGGATGAGCTTCCTTAGTGATCAAACACAGTAAACCAAATCATTGGAGGAAGAGCATTAATTACTTAAATCAGCAGGTCGGAAATGATCAAGGTCCTTGGGAATGCTATGCATGGGTCGTGTCTCCACAAAGCAGCTTTCTAAACAACCCAGCAGTGTAACCAGCACTACAAAAATACCTAGATAGATGGCCTTAGATTGATACTTCTGGCGATGTAGTCTAAATAAACAACCAACAGATGCATGGAAAATGACGTTTTCTTGAAGATGGTAGCCACGATACCATAGCAAAGAATCAAATGAGAAGCTCCAAGATTAAACAAGACAAGAAAGCTATAAGGAACATGTGCACTTATTTAAAGGAACAATAATTAAGAATATTTAAGAATTGTGCCGAAGATGTACAATAGTCTGCATATATTGGACGCAGTTGTACAAAAACACATTGAGGGGGAGTTAACCAAACAGTAAAATGCTAACCATTTTATGGTTATGAACTATGGGTGGTATTTTTATTTTCCCAAATTTTCAAGTTTGAGATTGAAAGATAATCAAGATTGAGAGATAATCAAGCAGAGATTATCTTCTGTAACAGACACACACACACACACACACAATGCATAGCTACATCTGTCATGACCTATAGTTGTGACAGGATAAAAAAAAAATCTAGCAAAAGTTTTCTAATCCTGATTATTTTAACTCCTGAAAATCTTCAGTAGATCACATATTGACATCATTTCTTAAAGAGGCTTCAATGCATTAATCTTTAGAGCCAAACACAAGTCAGTAGTTGCACATCTCGGAGAGTATTATCAACATTGGACAAACGGCCCCCAAATGACTTTGATGATGCATTGAGCAAAACCAGATCAATTTAAAATCTTCTCTTGTGTGTCGTCTTTGGGCAATCCTCCAGTCTTTAGAATCACATCTTCCTGATTGCAATCATGTTTTCCTCACTTGATTGCTTGTGTGACCTTAAAACTCTACGGGGCAGGAACTTCTGGGCTCCCAACCGAATCCTCTGCCAGCATCCCCTGAGAGATCAGAGCCACATCACGCTGGAATTCAAGAAAATGACAGGAAGAGATAAGAAACAGAATCCTATCATTTTATACCCATCATCTCTTCTCCTATAGTAGTGAAAAATACAGGGCTTAAAAAATTTTTCTTTTAACTTCCCAACATTCGTGTACTAGACTGATCCGGTAGAAAATTGTAAGCTACACAGATTTTACTCACCAAATTGCCCAATTTTTTTTCATTTCTCACCAAACAGACATTTTGAACATGTGGCTGAATACATTAGAGGAAAGTCTGGGCTTTGAATTGATGCAATTTTGAGATCAGTGATTTTTTTTGAAAAATACCTTTTAGTTGGGCAATCAAGTGAAGATTCCTTGAGGACTAGCTGGCTTAATTAATATATTAGTTGTGAAAGCTCAATACGTCCCATGTACATACATATTCTTTTCACGTTTTATTTATTTTTGAGATTGAGAGAGACAGCATGAGCAGGGGAGGGTGACAGAGAGGGAGATACAGAATCTGAAACAGGCTCCAGGCTCTGAGCTGGCAGTCAGCACAGACCCAGACGCGGGGTTCGAACCCATGAATCATGAGATCATGACCTGAGCCGAAGTCAGACGCTTAACTGACTGAGCCACCCAGGCGCCCCTCAATATGTCCAATATATTGAGGGTGGAAATACAAATCCATCTCTGAATTTATATCCTGAAATTGATTTTAGTGGATTTTTTTTTTCTGCATCGTGAAGTGGTACCTGGATTTGCCAGTGAGGCAAAACAGTCTTTGATGTCTTCTTGGCTCAAAGCGTATTTTTGAGGAATGGGGGTAGGTGATTATTCTGGGAGTGTCTATTTGTACCAGCATCTGGGGATGGAAATGAAACACTGTCTTAAATTGTGGAGTGATAAACAGACTGCATGTTTTTTATCACTGGAGCTAAATTGCAAATGTAGTTTCACCTTCTTAAACCCCGTGTGTGTGTGTGTGTGTGTGTGTGTGTGTGTGTGTGTGCGCGGGCCCGTGTGTGTTAGAGCATCCCATAAAACAAATGTCCAGCGGTAGGGGGCGGGGGAGAGGAGATGGAAATGAGTAAAAACTCCTGAAAGAGCTGAATGCCGCTGTATCCAGAAATTCACATGCCCGAGAGACAATCAGAGCCTTCTTCCCTAAGTAAAAGCTGCTTTTCTGTCTTTCGGGTTTTCATTTGCATGTGTACAACTTTGCACCTGCAGGTCTGTTCCAGAAGGCGATCATCCAGAGCGGGACCGCCCTGTCCAGCTGGGCAGTGAACTACCAGCCTGCCAAGTACACGCGGATATTGGCAGATAAAGTCGGCTGCAACATGCTAGACACCACGGACATGGTGGAATGCCTTCGGAATAAGAACTACAAAGAGCTCATTCAGCAGACCATCACCCCGGCCACGTACCACATTTCCTTTGGCCCCGTCATCGACGGGGACGTCATCCCAGATGACCCGCAGATCCTGATGGAGCAGGGGGAGTTCCTCAATTACGACATCATGCTTGGTGTCAACCAGGGGGAAGGCTTGAAGTTTGTCGACGGCATCGTGGACAACGAAGATGGCGTGACGCCCAACGACTTTGACTTCTCCGTGTCCAACTTTGTGGACAACCTTTACGGCTACCCAGAGGGGAAGGACACTTTGCGAGAAACCATCAAGTTCATGTACACGGACTGGGCAGACAAGGAAAACCCCGAGACGCGGCGCAAGACTCTGGTGGCTCTGTTCACCGATCACCAGTGGGTGGCCCCCGCGGTGGCCACAGCGGACCTTCACGCTCAGTACGGCTCCCCAACTTACTTCTACGCCTTCTACCACCACTGCCAGAGTGAGATGAAGCCCAGCTGGGCGGACTCAGCCCACGGCGATGAAGTCCCCTACGTCTTTGGGATCCCCATGATTGGCCCTACGGAGCTCTTCAGTTGTAACTTCTCTAAGAACGATGTCATGCTCAGCGCTGTGGTCATGACCTACTGGACCAACTTCGCCAAAACCGGGTATGTGTCTCCCCACGGTAGCTTCTTCTTGCTCCTCTCCTAGATTGTCCGGTTCCTCCATCCAAGTGCATCCGTGACTGAACGGAGTGCAAGATGGACGCACACGTGGTAACAGTGGGGGCTTGCTTTCTCCTCCTCCGTAAATTGTTTCCTGTCCACCAGATTTTTACTAGAGTGCTCCTTGCATATTGAAAAATCTGCTTCCAACCTGCTACTTCAGGGTTCAGGTAAAAATGGTAATTCCTTTGGAAGCTGAGCCCAGAATTTCAAATCTAAATAGGACCTTCTCTCCTTTGGTAAATAGTAGAGGGATATTAAAACACGTGTGCTGCGTGGCAGTTTGTGTTTATTGTGTAGCCAATGAGAACAAATTAAGTCTCATAATGCATCTAAGAAATACTATACGTGTGTGTACATATTAACACACACATGTATGCATTTCTCTAACAGCTATGAGATTTATTTCCTGTATATACATGTATTTGCAAATATTTATTCATTTATATATCATTTGTACATATTTATTTAATAAATTAGTATGTATTTCATATATATGTGTATGTACATACCTCAAAGGAAAGGACCTTAGCTAAATGTAGTACAAAACACACAAGCCACACATATTTTGAGAGAGAGCGTGCCTGTGAGTGGGGGAGGGGTACAGAGAGGGAGAGGCACTGTAAGCACAGAGCCTGATGCAGCGATCAAACCCACAAACCACAAGATCATGACCTAAGCCAAAATCAAGAGTCAGACACTCAACTGCCTGAGTCACCCAGGTGCCAGAAGGCTCCCCAACATTTAAAAAAATTTTTTAATTTTTTATTTATTTTTGAGAGAGAGAGAGAGACAGAGCACAAGTAGGGGAAGGAGCGAGAGAGAGAAAAAGAATCTGAAACAGGCTCCAGGCTCCGAGCTGTCAGCACAGACCCCGACATGGGACTTGAACCCACGAACCATGAGATCATGACCTGAGCTGAAGTCGGACACTCAACCGACTGAGCCACCCAGGCGCTCCCTAGTCAATGACTATTTTTATGTCACTTATTTATTATATTATTATAACATCCCTAGGGTGCTGTGACCATGTACCACAAACGGTGTGGCTTAAAACCACAGACATTTATTGTCGCCCTGTTTTGGATGCCAGAAATCCAAACCACAGGCATTCGCAGGGCCGAGCTCCCTCCACAATCTACAGACGAGAGTTTGGTGCTCCTTTCTAGCTCCCACATTGCATTGCCCCTTTCCAGCCACATGACTGCACTGTCTGTGTCTGCATCACACGGTGGCCTCCGTATGTGTGTCTTCAGATGGCCATCTTCTTCCAAGGGCATCCATCATATTGGCTTAGAAGTCCAACTTGCCTCATCTTAGCTTGACTCATTCCATCTGCAATGACCTGATTTCCAAATACGGTCACATTCTGTGGTCCTGGGGGTTAGCACTTTGGCTTGTGTTATTCGTTTGACGGGGAGGACAGTTCAACTCATCACCCCTTTCCGAGGCACAATGATGCCCAGTGGTGTCATTGAACTTGGGTATGTGATGCCTTCCCTAGAAAAGTGTCATCCTCTTAAAGCAGAAAGACGCACACGGCCACTTCCCAAATGATGGCCATGGCTTTCCCTACATTGCCATCCAAACATAGCACTCTTTTCATAGTATCTAAACACACCATCCTTACTCACCTTAGTTAAAACTGCATACTTGTTTCCCTTATGTGTTTTGGACGTGAACTTTATATGATTTTCTCACATGGTGATCGTTCATCACCAGTATAGCTGAACCATTAAAGAAATGGTGAAATCCAAGCAAAGCCATTAAAGTCTCGTTAGCTCATCTTGCCTTGGCTAGAGCTCTGAGGCTGATGCTCTCTTGGCGTTGAAAAGAGAAAGAAAAATGATAAAGGAAATTAATCGGTGTCGCACAATGGGGAAAAAAAAACTCCTAGTGCGAAATGGATTATTTTCACCAAGACCTATCAAAGGTTGAGCCAGGGTTAAAAAGACCACAGCATTCTGTTATTGAGTGCTTCTTTTCTTGTCGTGGCTCTGATTCCTAAGGTGTCTGTGCCTGGCGCCTGTGGTTCATGCCCTCGTGGGGAACATAGTGACAGAGGTATCAAGTGGGCTTCATCACGGGCCAAACACATTCACGTGGCCATTCGTCGTATGTGCTCATGACGGTGCCAAAGCACCGGGAACAGATGAGAAAAGAAGGAGGGGACATCAGCTGGAGGGGAACAGCTGTCATCTGTCTGGAGTCTAGGACTTCAGAGAGAGTCAGCCTCTCCCTGAGCAAACAGGACAGAGACAAGGGAGAGCTGTGGATGTCAGTCGGAAGATCCTGGACTGGGTCCAAACAGGAGCTATTTTTACTCCTCCAGTGCCTGTGGACCACAGCTGAAATAATACTTAGGGATATTAATGCAGTGAGTTTTTCTCATCCGTTTGGAAAGGTCATTGAAGTGACTCAAATCATCCTCAAAGGGAGTCACTCAGAACTTCCTCTAACATGAAATGCAAAGTGCAATCCTCCGGGGTCAGTAAGTAGGGATCACATCTCCACGGTGGCCAGTTTAACAAGGAAACAGAGCATCGAGCAGACGGGCAGGCTAGTGATTTAGGGATTTGTCTGTACGTGGCCAAGTCATAAGAGGCGGTTGCTAGTTATTTATTTAACTAGGGTAGCAATGCGGTAGGCTCTGTGCAGACGGGTATTTCCTTGTCCCTGGAGGGGGCTGGTTCAGTGGTCCCAATGAAGATGAGCCAAAATGGCGCCAGTAACGGAACAGCGTAGGCTGAACCATGTCTGACGCCACTGTGTGAGCATGGTGGTTAACTCTATTCTTCAGAGCTCGTACTCTGGCCCTGACACACAAGCCGTCAACTGCACCGTCAGCACTAGAGACACAGGCGCTGGATAAATATCTCCCCATCCATCTAATCCATCTACCCCAGCACTTCAGCACAGAGACAGGATTGCATCACATCAGGGCATGCTTTGCCATCATTATTGAGTGGAATTTCCAGTCTTGTGTACCTTACAGAGAGCACATTGCTGTTCCTTAATGCTCGTGCGTTAGGCCAGGCAAACTATGCCCTGGTACTGCTTGTCATACAACCCAGAGCTCACAGGTATGACTTTATGTCTATCTTTAAATGTAAATACATGGCATGCATATGGAAGGCGTGGAAGAGGGAAGGTGGAGAGGGAGGGAACGAAGGAAGGTTCCATGATTCAGTTTAGAAGACTCCACCACGGGGGCGCCTGGGTGGGTCAGTCAGTTAAGCGTCCGACTTCAGCTCAGGTCATGATCTCGCGGTTCAAGGGTTCGAGCCCCGTGTCAGACTCTGTGCTGACAGCTCAGAACCTGAAGCCTGCTTCAGATTCTGTGTCTCCCTCTCTCTCTGCCCCTCCCCTGCTCATGCTCTGCCTCTCTCTTTGTGTCAAAAAAAGGAAAGTTAAGAAAAAGAAGACTCAACCTAAACAGTGCTGGAAAAGAACAACATAGGCCAAAACAATAAGCACTAGTCTAAAAATAAAGCTGATGTGGAAAGTTTTGATGAATGAGAAGTAATGTCAAGGAAAAATTAAAACTAATCCCAAGGTTTACAAAGGATTAGAAAGAATTACAACCTGGGTCGTAGAAAATCTCTTTGGGAATGCGAGCCCTGACTGGTCCGTAGAATCCAGGTGCTTGTGGATCAAACACCGATTCAGTCTGAGCTCATTTGTTGGAGGAAGTGCCAATAAAGGGAACATGGAGGAAAAGTTGGTCCCTGGTGAACATGATGCAACGAAGTCAGCACTTTAAGGAAGCAGGTGACGCATTGTCCACCGAGGGCCTGACTTAAGTGGCATTGGAGTCCAGAGAATGAAAAGATAGTTCTGGCATGGCAAACGCAACCAACACAGATTTCAATTTTTTGACTTGGTCTCAGGATGTCGGTGTAGGTCTACATCACATGCCATGTTGACTGTTGACGTGGTTGGTGTCCTATATTCAGCCTTTGGGAAGACTCAGAGGCCCTTAGGGTGCATGACTTAGAGCAAGCTGCAGCCCGTGTCTGGTCTTAAAGTGACCTTTATGGCCAAAAAGCATGTAAGTAGAATGAATGAACATCTTGACCTGTTGTCTGGGTGCAGATGTGACACTGAACACATTCTCTTGATGCGATGCATGTGGTAGTCTCCTTAGACATCTGGTAACAAATAGCCAGGTACTACGTTATGTTAGGTGTAAGGAGAATCACATGCCATCCAAAGGAGCCTATCAGAGTGTTTACTGATATTTCTAAAGAAATCATATTACCTATCTCGAGCAAATAAAATGGATCACAAGAGCTTAGAAATGCACTTGACCATCCTCTGCCCAAATGATGTCTCAAATAAATTGTGACAGGTGAAAATGTGTGTTTCAGGTGCTGGGAATTGTAGATGCAGATAGCATGGAGGTTTTCACTAGGGAGAGAAGATACGTCCCTTTCTTTCTGTCCTGAATCATCATGATCTTTCATTTTGCTCATGGAAATTAAAGCATGCCATATGCGGAAATCAAGTCTAAAAAGCAAGGCGCTGATATCCCACTTAGAGGTCTTGCTATCTTTGGAGTATTTGACAAGGGAAAATGATGGACTTTCATAAGCTCTGTGAGTTTATCTTGGTTTAAGGCTTCTGACCGTGAATCTCCAAGAACTTTAATAGATAGATTGTATCAGGCTAAAGCTTACTTACCTGGATTTTCAAAATCCTCTGCTCTGTTCTTTGGGAACAAAATAAATGTGTTTCTTTACCTTTCAAATGCACACCAAATTTCATCAAAAAGAGTCCAGTATCCAACGTGAACCGAATACTCTTTTTCCTAGATGCTCTCTGCTTAATAAAAGGTCCACACAGCTAATAGACCCAATTCAGTGAAATCAGATCAATGGAAAAATAGTAGGAATCTTCACACCTTTCCTTGCTTTTAGAGCAATAAAAAATGGTGACAGAAGTTTCCATGGCACATTCCAATTAAAAAGGAATTTTTTCAAAAATTTATTTCAGAAGACTCAAATAAAAGAAACATGAGGTGCTATATTGAATCCAGCCTTTTCTGAAACATGTAAGAATTTTAGGAATCAGAGATTGAAAGTTTTTTTTTTTAATATATTAATGTTTATAAACGAACAGATTAAAAACTCTGCATTAGGACCTATCATTTTAGATTTTATTTTCTTGATATCATTAGTAAAATAAAAGATTGCAGCAGTGAGTGTGTACTCAGTTAAGTTGTAAAATTTCCTCATCCTGCATACCATGTATATAATTATATCCATATTTCATATAGATATCCACATATATAGTATACATTGTGCAGTATATACTATGATGTACAGTCTACTTTCACAGAGTATATAATATACAGTATACTTTTATGAGCATATACTATATATAACGTGTAGTATATACCATATATACTGTGGTATAGAATATACGCTATATGAAGTATATAGTATACCATATATACTGTAGTATACAATATGTGATATATAATATACTGTGGTATGTAATGTACATTGCTCTGATGTATACTGTGTATAGTATATAGTGTACCATATATTCAGTGGCATACAGTATACTTTTATATGGTGTATACTATAGACAGTGTATAATACACTATACCTGCTATGATTTATAATATATACAATATACAGATATAGATTGTATATATACAATATATACAATATACAGATTGTACTATATGTACCATGGTAAACAGTATACTTTTATATGACATACGCTATATACAGGATATAGTATATTGTACGTGCTATGGGTGTTACAGTATATTACTTTACAGCCCTCTCCCTAAACAGTTTTTAGGTATTCTACTTTATATATTGGCAGAAGGGGTTAATATTGATTAGGCTCTCACTATTTGTCCCACACTTTGTAGTGATTTTTTTTTTATCCTCCGTCAATTATATCCAATCCCAGTATAGATGAGGATGATTAGGCCAAGGAAGGCTTCTGAAACTTGTGCAAGATTTTGCAACTGTCATGCGGGAGAGCTTCAGAGCTTAATGCACAGAGATGACTTTGACAGCCTCAGACTGAGGGCAAAATCCTTCTTTTAGCAAAGGCTGCACCTGTTGGTCAGGGTATTGTTTGCATCCTGCACAAGGCATAGGTCACGTGTGTGGACTTGGGACTTTCAGGGAGGACTTCTGGTACCCCAGTCTGCCGGCACGTGAGCCAAAAGGCAGCGGCTGGAGGCGGCTTTGTAAATGCTGCCGGAAAGTTCTTACGTGGAAAGTAGAAGTTAGAACACTGAGGCCAGAGATCTCTGCGTGCACGGCCCAGCTTCCTCTGGCATGTACATGATGTCTGAGTGTTCAGAGCTATCTCCCGGTGACATCTTACTGTGCGTAACCTCACAAGTTCCAAAACAAACTCACATCAGGATGAAATATGCCTTACACTTCACTTTACCAACCGTAGAAGTAGATGGAAGAAATGAGAATATGATATTTTGGGGAGGTTGTTTGTTATAGTAAAAGAGTTGGTGGCAGAGATGTTTAAAGTATCATGCTTTCTGGATTTCCCTTTCATTTTGATGATTCTCATTCTGCCTGTGCCCACTTGTGTAAATAATAAGACAGTTCTTGGGTTCAGAGTTGGCCCGGCACATGTACCATCTACAAAAGCCCTCTGTTTCTTGAACCGTGTTTTACTTCTCCTTAACATGTTAACTTCACCGTGTCTAAAAGCGTGATCTTATCACCGTTCTTCGAATTAATAGGATGTTATTTGATATTTATGTGGCTCAGTCTACAAAAGGTTTTCAAGTATCCAACTATTCCTCTTTCAAAAAGACAGCAAACTCATGATGCATTCATTTCACCATGTCTTCACCTTTTGCAGTGACAGAGCCTATTTTTATTTGATTTTTAATACACATCTTCATTCTTAAAACTTCTGTACATATCTGTCCACCTCAGAAGTCACTCTTGAGCAAGAAAGAAAATGGCTTCATTTTGAACAATAGCCTCTAAATCAGGATTTCTCAACCTCGATACTGTTGACGTTTGTGACAAGAGACTTCGTTCTCTGGGGGGCCTCTCCTGTGCACTGGAGAATGTTGAACGTTGTCCCTAGCTCTCTACCCACTCATGCCAGCACACTCCACACGTGACAACCAAGTATGTCCCCAGACATTGCCAAATGTCCCTGTGTGGACAATACGTCTTGGTTGAGATTTATGGCTCAAGAATAGCTAAGCTTGAAATCCTGAAAAATTTCCTACGCCCATTTTTTTCTTACCTTTTTATTGCTGGAGATCATTTGATGCGTTGAAAAAATGGTAGAAACATTATGAAAATGCCAGAACTCTGCCAGCAGGAATTATTTTTAAAATAAAAGGAAAAGGAGACTTTTCAGGGAAAGACAAAATGGTAGCCATGGATGGATTAAACCAGTGTGTTTGTTGGTATCTGGGTACTTGGTGCTCATCAAGAGGTCTTGGTGAGCTCGATTAAGCGGTCGTAATTCCCTCTTGTACTTGATGGTGAGATTTACTTGTCATCTGTTGAAGGGTATGACCTTTTTTTTTTTTTCCCCCTTTTCTCTTCTTCTGTCCCCAGCGACCCAAATCAGCCTGTTCCTCAGGACACCAAGTTCATTCATACAAAACCCAATCGCTTTGAGGAAGTGGCCTGGTCCAAGTATAACCCCAAAGACCAGCTCTATCTACATATCGGCCTAAAGCCCAGAGTGAGGGACCACTACCGAGCTACCAAGGTGGCTTTCTGGCTGGAATTGGTTCCCCACCTGCACAACCTGAATGAGATATTCCAGTACGTGTCAACAACCACAAAGGTCCCGCCTCCCGACATGACCTCCTTCCCCTACGGAACCCGGCGGTCTCCCGCCAAGATATGGCCCACGACCAAACGCCCAGCCATCACCCCCGCCAACAACCCCAAACACTCCAAGGACCCTCATAAGACAGGGCCCGAGGACACAACCGTCCTCATCGAAACCAAACGAGATTATTCCACCGAGCTGAGCGTCACCATCGCCGTGGGGGCCTCCCTGCTCTTCCTCAACATTCTGGCATTCGCGGCTCTGTACTACAAGAAGGACAAGAGGCGCCACGAGACACACAGGCGCCCCAGCCCCCAGAGGAACACCACAAACGACATCGCTCACATCCAGAACGAAGAGATCATGTCACTGCAGATGAAGCAGCTGGAGCACGACCACGAGTGTGAGTCCCTTCAGGCCCACGACACGCTGAGGCTCACGTGTCCTCCAGACTACACCCTGACGCTGCGCCGGTCTCCGGACGACATCCCGCTCATGACACCAAACACCATCACCATGATCCCAAACACACTGACGGGCATGCAGCCTTTGCACACATTCAACACGTTCAGCGGAGGACAAAACAGTACCAACCTCCCCCACGGACACTCGACCACTAGAGTATAGCTTTGCAGTTCCTTTCCGCTCCATCTGCTCCTCCCCGCTGGAGAGAGGGAGGGAGAGAGAAGCGACCTGTGCCCACCAGGCGGGTGGGTCATCCCACTGACAGAGGACAAAAACGAAGAGCGGGGCGCCATCTTGTCCCTGCCGACACATCCCATTGGCATTTCGCAGTACGACGAGATCCACTTATGACCCTATGAAATGTGAAAAAGTATCCATTGCTGTTACAATACTGCTTTAACATCTCCAGCTCTCCCGAGGACGCTTAGCTTGGCTGGGACATCACCATCTCCAGGACTTGGATGCATCCCGTGTTCACAGTACAGGCCGACACTTTGGGAACCCAGCCAGGGACGCTTAAAAAAATTTTTTTTTAATTAACCATTGAAAACAAAAAAAGTTCTTTACGTGCCATACGACGGATGGCTCAACTTAAGGGAAGGAAGAGTCTGTGGGCTTTGACCCAGCGCATGGAGCTGTAATCCAGACAGAAGGAAAAGTAGAATTGTTATTACTACAAGAGCCGACTATGCAGTAACACACGTATAGTTCTGTGCAAAGAGATGTTTTGCCAGCCTGAACTGTATTTAAGAAACTTTGTAAAAAAAAAAAAAAAAAAGTGTATATAGCTGTGAGTTTCAACAAAAACACACACAGAGAAAGAAAAAAAAAAAACCAACCAATCAACAAAAAAGCTTTTATTGGTGTTTTCAGTTTGAAAGACCTTTTAGCAAGATTGTGTTTTCCATTGTGGTCTGTATGTATATAAATATATATATATATATATATATATACATTAGCCATTCACCTCTGTTTCCTCCAGGACACAGGAGGATGTTCTTCTTAATTCCTTGTGCTAAGCAAAGACACGGGGTATTCTAACGCATTTCATTTGTAGGAGGATGGGGCGTCGCACCGCGGACCAGACTGCCTGTGTGGTGGGGCTCTTCACCCCCCTTTCCGGGATGCATGCGACAGACAGCACTGTTAGGAGACGCACCGTTGTGTTAGCAAACTTTTATTTTCATGTGTGTTATAGCTTCCATGGAGTTGCACCACCTAGATGGACCCCCCCGCCCCAGCGTGGAGTCTATGTAAAGCTTGCTGAATTAGAAACACGCACACGCAGAACCACTGCAGGAAAGAAAACACACAAAATACAAGTCTTGGTCTGTGGTTGTGGTTCTTTGACTACGTCTAGGGAGATCTTGCTGCCCACCCCCTGGGGACCCTGCCAAAAAAAGGAAAGAAAGCTTGCCTTTGGTGGGGGCGGGGCCATGCCCTGCCGAGTCAATACGGCTCAGTGTTTTCCAGCAGCTGCAGAAAGGGCTTTGGGTCCTCAACTACCTGCTTAGCTTAGCTAATCAGATTGAAGGAGGGCATGAGGCTTTCCTTCTATTCTTTAAGCAGTAAGTCCCTTATTTATCAGGATGCAAGATTCTTTTGTTTTATTCTTTATATCGTTTATGGGGTAAAACATATGCTTGTCTAAAGTACTGCGAGATTTGCGTCTCATTCCCTGATCACTGAGTCGTACGGGGAGAAAACAAACCCACCGTAAAGGACGGGACGTTCAGCGCACTGTGCATGGGTCTTCTGGGAAGTTAGGGTACCCTTCGCTGTCAGATAAGATGCGGAAATTGCTCGCCCCATTTCAGACTGGACGTCTGCCCTCCCACACCTCCTCATGTTGCCATTGCCGTTTTAATTTTATCTGAAGGAATATTTTGAGTGTCCTGAGGCATAAGGGAAGACGATGATGGTCACTTTATAGTTTGTCTTTCGAGAATTTTTGCAACATCAGGAAATAGGAGCCAAAGATGTTTGAAAATACTGTCTCTGGGCTTGACTGTGGTGATTTTCGAAACCCAGGCTTCAAAGCCATTGCCAAGTTGGGGATTCTCCACACAGTTAGTCCAGCGACCTCGCCCCTTGGCATAGCGCTCGAATACTGAACCCCTACGCTAGAACAGTAGCGATGGACACCCACGTCTTCGAAAATGCCCTTTACCAAAAGACAGTTCTCAGAAGCGCATAGAAGTCACAGGATCAATTCTGTCGTCTGTCTGGGTTGAAATCTGACAGTGGGTCTCTGTATATACGTATGTGAAATATTCTAATCCCTACTTCACCCATGGCCACACAACACTCCTTTCCTGCAGATAGACGTGTCCTGGGTACGAGCTTTCTCCCCAGTTCGTCTTTTTCTAAAGCTACTGTCAGGTCATCTCTGCAAGCTCTGTTTTTCCCACCAGCTGGGCTACGGCAAATAGGCTGGTTTTCCATAGAACTAGCCGACAGGCGATGTTTGCCATCAGTGTGGGTCTGGTATGTTTGTAATGTGAATTCCAATATTTGTTTAGTATTTCCAATTGTCTTCTGCTAGCAATATGCACAGTAATGTATCAGGCTTGTGACATTTGGATAAGGAAAAAAAAAAAAGAGTTCTTGTTAAGTGAATAACTTTAGCTTTTACAGAGGATATGATCAAAAGAAATTTAATACACCTTAAATGATATCTTATTTCTACATGGAAAGAAGTTATAGAATCTTCATAGAGTTCTATGAGAATAAAATATACTTGCTATCTATAAAAAAGAGAAAAATGAGAAAAAAAACGAGAAAAAGAAAATAAGTGAAAAAAAAAAAAAAACTTTCCTAGGCTTTTATTCTTGACCTTCACAGGCACGCAGGGTTTAATGGTTTCTTGGGTTATTATTTTGCAATTTTGTTTTTGATTTTGCCTTAAGTAATGATAGAAGATATATATGGCTGGACACATATGTATAAACTTTTCTGCAGCATTTTTAATAATAAAATATCACAGTATTTTCTAATGCTTTGTGCAAATAATTGTGCGTCCATTCTTTTTTTGTAGGTGGCCTATGTTACTTTTTCTTGCCCGGTAAGGAAGATCGCAGGAATGTCTCAGGCAGGTGCACACACGTCGTCGTGAATTCACCGATTGTCAGATAAAGGCAACTGTCAGATCGTGTGCCTGTTTGCTGTAGTTGAACAATGGATATTTTTACAAATTGATTTGGGTCATTTGCTGAGTATGAGGCGAACAGGATATAAAAATATATATAGAAATCTATACATATAACATGTTACATATTACTAATAATTTAATAGTACATAGTATTATATTTCATTATGACAACACATATCATCTGTTTATATAGTATATAATATATGTATGCATATTATATAATATAAAATATGTAGCATATATTACATACCAATTATATAATACTTTTATATTATTTTTATTACCATATAATTATATTGTATATAATTGTTATATAATTATATATAATATATGCATATTGTATAATATAAAATATGTGGTTTGTATATTATATAAATATTATATATACAGAATTTACATTATATATTTTATTTACAATAGAATATAATTATAGCATTTACAATTTTATAACTTATAATTATATAAAATATATATTGATTTTATTAATATTCACAGTACATGAAATATTTACTTATATATTATATATAAATATGTTATAAATATTTATAATATATAAATACATAAAACAAAATATATACCGTATATGTATATAAATACATAAAATACATACCATATGTAATCTGCAATGCATTTTATGTATTTATATGCATGTTTTGTATATTGCATATAAGTATATATTAGATATACACAAATATATAATTTTCTCATACGTGTATATGATATACATACCTTTCATGGATTCAACACTGAAAAAAATAATAAAACCGAATCTTTAGCAAATTTTAGGTAGAGGGAGAGTTACTATGTTTTTCCACCATGCATACATACTTGACCATTCTAACTGGAAAAATGGTAAGAAGGTACACATTCATTCATGCACTCATTGACTCAGTCATGTATTCACTCAGCAAACCTTCACGAAGCATCTCTCTCCCCGCAGGCTGTGTGCTGGGGATGGCGTCCGAAGGGAAAGGAAACGCTTTCCATCCTAGGAGTGGGTTTGGAAGAGAGGGTCAGAATAGCATTAGGCCTTCGAGATGGCCCCCGCAGTGCCAGTGGGAGTGTTAAACTCCCCTGCTGCGTGTGGTGAGCATTCTCTAGGAAGCAGCCCCAAACCACGTGTGTCCACACATGGCTGGGAGTCCATGCTGATGACACGCTGGGTGCTCGGGCAGGTCAACTGTGCAACCTAGAAATGAGAAGACGGGGCGTTTAGGGAAGCACGGCTTTGTCGTCACGTAAGGAAAATAGAAGCTGTATTTGGAAAGGTGTGGGGAGCAGCATCGAGCTCATTAAATGCCCCAGATCACACGACACGCGGTTTGCGCGCCATCCTGAAGTGCAGCAGGAGCCCGCGAACGGTCCCTGTCCTATTTCACAGCCTTCTTCCACCACTGACGCTTCGGGGAATGTGTTGGATGTCGGGCTGCGGTGCAGATTCTGACTCAGCAGGGGATGTGTGTGCTGGAATGTCCACATCTCCGGCAGCCTCTCAAAGCGCTGGGGAGCTGGCTGGTTCACCAGTATCCCCAAGTATCGAGTGTTCGGTCCAGAAGTAGCCGTGATGGTCACGATCAGGGGGCCCTGGGCTCAGTGAAAGCTGGTCGGTGAAAAGCGAGAGCCATGTGAGCAGCGGATTACCGCCATGTCCTCCCAGCTGATGGGGACAGGGGCTGGGGTTAGAGCCGTTTTGCAGCCCTGCGTTCCCGCACTGATAAAGGCCAGGGGTCAGACACGAGCAGGGACCCTGCCCGGCATCCAGCTCGACTTCGGTCACTTGCAGCAAAGGCAGGGCCCACGCCAGAACAGTGAGCCGTGGGGGGAGGCGTTCACAGGGCAGACACGAGCATTTGGGCCGCTCCTGGGCTGTTTGAAGAGCGGGGCAGGCACAAGAATTCGTTCTGGGCTACTCACCCTCGGGGTAATTTGGGGTTCATGATGTTTAGGCAGGAAGCTAGAGGACCAGAGCGGGTCCGGACATGTCATCCGCAAAGAAACTGGAATAAGAGTGGACGTTGGGTCCCCTTCAGTGGAACCCACCATGACCGAGCCATCAGACTAGCAAAGCAGTCAGATGGCTGGGCTCTTTCTTTCCTTCTCGGAACTTCCTCAAAGTGTTCTCCTCACTTCACCTCCTCTGGGCCTCCTGGTTAGGAAAACAAGGTGTAAATCTAGTCTCTGGTTAAGGAAGCGAAAGCAGTCCTCTGTCTGCAGATGCCCGTGATTGTATTTTAGTACGTGGAGCCACAAACGGAGATTGTCTTCTGGGGCTCTACCTTTCCGGAAAGTGGCCGCCCGCCTACATAGAAAAGCTACAAATAATGGTGTTGTCGCCCAGACCAGGGCTTACGGGAAAATACGGAGGCCCCTCGTCTTCCGCACGTGGCCGAGGCGAGAGGCCGCTGGCCCGGGTGAACAGGTGGGATGCGTTCAAGTCCTCGCGCCAGTGGCCAGGCGCACACACTCCTCGTAGAATTGACTCGGGGCTTCTGGGTATCGACAAAAATGGTGAGCGGTTTCAGCAGGGAGAAGCTTTGAGCAGAAAATGCATCTAAGTCCCA